TCGATGTGTGTCTCGATAGCTACGCGGCCAAGTCGGCTTAGGCAACCGGAAATGTAACGTGCATGTGCGCACGAGATGGCAGCTCAGCTGAGGACGAGTTTAGACATTGCAACGCTTGTCGATGCGGATTTTGGGCGGTTCTCCGAGCTGACTGATTATTGTGCAGACATTTTGTTGTCTGAGTAGGCAACATCATCAGTGCGGTTTCAGGGGCCTGGTTCGCTGTGCGTCGTAAGCGACTTCAATGTCCAATTGCTTATTGATCGAGTTCTGCTTTGAATGCCAGGCTTCAATGAACTCACGAGCTTGCCGGGTTTTAGCCCTTCCGAGGATACTGGTATGCTCTATGTCGAATTGATGATTCTCAGCATCCATGAGCACTGACATCAGGGAGTTCTGATCGTGGCGACGTATGGCTAGGCTGTGTTCGTGTAGCCTTGTGCCAAGCGTTCTCCCAGTCTGCTGTCGGAACTGCGACAAGTACTACGTGGGACAGACTGGGAGAACGCTTGGCACAATGCTACACGAACACAGCCTAGCCATACGTCGCCACGATCAGAACTCCCTGATGTCAGTGCTCATGGATGCTGAGAATCATCAATTCGACATAGAGCATACCAGTATCCTCGAAAGGGCTAACACCCGGAAAGCACGTGAGTTCATTGAAGCCTGGCATTCAAAGCAGAACTCGATCAATAAGCACTTGGACATTGAAGTCGCTTACGAGGCACTGCGAACCAGGCCCCTGAAACCGCACTGATGATGCTGCCTAGTCAGGCAACAAAACGTCTGCACAATAATCAGTCCGCTCGGAGAACCGCCCAAAATCCGCATTGACAAGCGTTGCAATGTCTAAACTCGTCCTCAGCTGAGCTGCCATCACGTGCGCACATGCACGTTACATTTCCGGTTGCCTAAGCCGACTTGGCCGCGTAGCTATCGAGACACACATCGATCGCTCCAACGCCTACGGTGGGCCATGACCTTCACTCAGCGCGTAGTCAGCTGAGAGCCGGAAACATGTTGTGGCTCGCTCGCTGATCCACAGCCTCAGTCCATTGTGTCTTTAAAGTTTAGGCTTTTTCTCAGCTGAGCCCTGCATTAAATCACTCGTCAGCCGTGAATTCCATACGTTCGCACCACTAAGGTGAGAAAGAAATTCCTGTCCCTGCACGCGCAGTAGCATGTTGCGAATTTCGCTAAATATTGGATGGCTATTGGATGTTAGGGACAATAACCATAAATGACCGGCGTTCAACATTAGGGAGCCACGGTAGTTAAATTAACGCTACTCGTCCATCTTTCTTCAGATTAACAATATATATATTTGGCGTCGACATATTTCGGATTTCCCTGTCACTTTGACCAGCCACAGGGCGTTTGCGCGTGCATGGTGAACATGGTTGGCTTGAGCTGCACCACACACCCACCAACCACACACATATCCGGTGTAAACCCTAAGGAATAAGACCGGGAGGCATGTGGATGGAGCCACGGTTCATCAATGTAGCCGGCCCACACTTCTTCACAGGCAAACACAAGCACGCTGTATTTGAGGGATCTACCGCACACAAGGCGGTTGCTGGACCGTAGTCCGCTCCACCCTGAGTGCATGCAACCGTTCGTCAAGCCTATCACGACCACAAGGACTGTGCACCCCGTCCCCATGAGAAACGATCAACTGTCTGATGGACCCAGAATGAACTAGATAGTGGGTAATAGACAGGTAGGCAGCTTGTCAAAATGCACATCAAGTGCAGCCACACCAGAGATATCAATCAACGGCCAATCAGTTGAGAGAAAGATAACAAAGAAAATAAATCGAGTAAGGCATAGGGAAACGGTGGCATGAATCGTAAATTTTATGAGCATATTTAATACGTTTTCTACAAATGAATCGAGATAAGTTCACGAGATCAGAAACTATTTTTTACGGAAATGCCACAAACACGAAAATATTATCGAAATTAACTACAATTGATGTAAGCGACGTGTGCAAGTTTATAGAAGAGAGTACATGTAGACATTCATCTGGGAAAGAAAAGCATTAGGACAAAATTGCAAACCCACCACCTGAAATAAATAGACTTAACATGCAAGCACGCTGTTAGTAAATCGAATACAGCGTGCCTACAAACGCTGCGCTGGTTCTGCCTACGTTCTCTGCAGGACGCGTCGTCGCTTCGGCGGTGGTCCCTTGTGGCCTCGCTTATTGCTCATTACGCCCGCCTTGCTGAGAGATGTATATATTTAACACTATACCAGTTACAATATAATCGGCTGAATGCCACAACACATACGAGGAAAAATATAACACGAAAGTATACAATTTTTCGTGTAGATGGTTCTCACATTAATGCGTCATTGGGTACGGTCGTTGACCATATCCACTACGTTTCGACCAGATGTGCTCGCAGTCCTTTGATCCCCGTCCTGGGAGTCTAGAACGCCCTGCTGTCGCCAGCTTCAACGTTTACGCTTTAACTCATTGGATCCAAGTTTACTTTGCCCTTCTTTTCCTTGCTTCCATGCCAAACCTGTGCACGCAAATGGGGCTCCTCTTGGTAGCCGCTGGGTAGGTTACCGGATCACATGCCCAAGGTAGCGAAGTCTCCGTATTGAAATGATACTATAAGTCGGTTGGCGGTGTTCGTTAAACCTGAAGTCTCGCCGGCGGACTTCCCCATAACTAATGTGATGCTACCATCGAAAAACAGCAATGCTTCGCAGGCAGCGTTGATCGAAGATAGATAGCCGATTAATGGGCGAAGTCTCACAGCCTTGCAGCAGAATCGCTCGTACTGTAGCATTATCGACTCGTCCCTTGTGTACGGGGCTAAAATCACGACGAAGCCACAGGTGAAGTAGATTAGCGAAAGTGACTCTAGAATTGGAGACACAGGGAGATCTCATCTGTAAAACCGCCAATACTGAAGCAACTCCCAAGATAAATGAATTTTTCGACCATTTCCAACGGATGCCCCGAAAGGGTGCGAGAAGCACATGCGTTTGGCCAGTCCTGTAATACGACCTTACATTTGAAAATGGCAAAGGCAAACCCAGATTGGGCTGCATACATCTCCATTCTGAGCAGCACATGCTGGGCGGCTTTGGAGGACTCTCAAATCACAGCGATGTCATCGGCGTACTCTAGGTCCCGAAGGCGGTCACCAGGGAGCAGTACAACACCGCAGGACCCAGAGTTCTCCAGGGCAATATCTAAGATCTAGTCCATGGCGAAATTGAACAAGAATGGAGAGGCTGGGCAACCCTGTCTAACATCGCTAGTGATAGTGAAAGGGGTCAAAATTGCTCTGTATGCTCGCACGCGGCCCGAAGTTTGGTGCTAACTAGCACGGATGATGTTGATGTACTTCTCAGGTACTCCCTTGTTCTGTAAGCGATTCCAAATGTCACTCTGTCAACAAAAGCGAATCGAATATTCAAGAATATGACCATAGTCGGTCGACCGTACGTATGGCGATGTTTAAGTATCTGGCTAGGCTCTTTACGTTTTCTAAGACGATTTAATTACCTACTTGATCTTGTATGGAGACGAGTAAACGTGGGTCTCACCCTAGGTCCATGTTGTGCTGGGTTATCCGTATTGGAAGCCGTTATCGTTTGATGGATGAAGTTTGTGTCTTATTCTTTTCAGTCTATCTTCTATGGGAAATAACTCTGTCTGCCTTGTTTCAGTTTGTCTTTCGGTGTCGGAAGTATTCCCCTCCATTTAGTATTCAGTTTATATGCTTCTAAGATTCTATGTGCCCGTAGTAATCACATCCTTAGCTTAAAGACGTTCTTAAGTTAAGGGGCATTGTTCGTTTATCTACGTTGTGATAACACTATTCTGAGCAGGGCTCTTTAAATCACCATCCTTAGATACACGCTGTTTTTAAATACCTGGTATATATGGTTTTCTACCTTCTTCCTCAATTTTGGCCGGGCAGCAGTATTTCGCCTCTTTCACAAAAATCTTGGATACCTCGCATCTTACATTTTGGTAAATAGATTTTGTGGTCAGTATGTGCCTTATTTTGATGTACGCAGGTTTAAATTTACCGTCATTTTCCTGTAAATCAGTTAATCCAAGAATATTACTTCGGTGTTTACCAGTTAGGTGGCATAATTGCTATCTGCTAATCTGCTATTAACTAGGTCACATGTACTTTGTATTGAATCTCACTTCATGATGACAAATCTGTCGTCTACATATCGGATCCGGAATATCGGTTTTATACGACTTCTGATGCCGGACGGAATGGAGTCGACATCAAAGCACCTTAAATTCGGATTACAATTAAGCATAGTTTCATTTCATTACGTTGGACACTTTCTACATAATATTTGAATATTCAGCTAACTGTTTAGCTATCAACTACAAATTGTAACTAACTATTTTGTAATTTGCCGTATTTAAACGCTTATGCTTGAGTAATGAAGAGCGCAAAATTACCGCCGATGGCGCTTAGACAAGCAATTGTCGATTAGAAACGTATAAGTCCTAGTACACATTGACACCATTGAACTAAAAATTTAACTTTAACATTCTTGTGATGCTAAATGAAGAAATAAGTCATCAACCTCTGGCTAGTTTTCTAAGCCTTGAAAATATTCACCTATAGTTCTCCAATATTCTTTGACAAATCGGGCTTACAACATCCGGATTGCTCCGTGTCTAGTAGTTCTGCGACACCAATACCATGCAACTCACATTAGCCTTGATGAATATTCTGGCGAAAATCACATAACTCGGAAATCGGGTAGCGAATTCAGAACCGAGTTTCTAAACTGCACTTTTCTACCTCCCTCTGTTTGTTGCAGGAGCCCTGTCTTATCAGAAGCGCGAAAAACGAAAATGAAGCCGTGTATTTGTCTTTCAGGGAAGCTTACAAAAGTGCACACATGAAACGTCAATTTGTTAGAGAATTAAGCGTCAGGAAACGCGGGGTGCAAAGTAATGTCTTTCGAATTACATATTTAATGCTTCATCTCGTTTAATCAAAAGGAGCCAACAACTCACAAATGAAGATAACAACGAGAAAAGTGATTGGGTATTTGATCACGGCTTTTGTAGCTAAAATATGAGAGAGGCGATATAATCATTGTTGCGACCGGAGCAGCGGTAGCCACACATGGAAAATAAGAATGCTCGATTTTGCAGCGTATTATCACGTATAATTCCTGTTATTATTAAAATATACTGTGCGATACACAGTAATTTTCTACCAAGCGTGATTTGTGCTATCTACACAGGCGGTCTGTATTTTCTGCTGTCTTAGGGAAATGTGGCACCAATGATTTCGAAATCTACATGGCTCACTCCAAGCAAATTACTTCCAAAATCAACCACACTACACGGCGCAAGCAAGTGAATGGCCTAAAGGATCTATCTGTCAATTCACCACAGGGAGGCGTTATCATCAATAGAATACACAACGATCGATACCATTGCAATCAAACTATGCATATGTAGGTGAATTTGAAATAACAAGAGAAAATACACAAAAACTTATGAATAATGACTAAACTGCTGTTTGTTATGGCAGAATAACTATGTAAAGCATAGAAAAGTAAACCTACAGAAACATTTCTAAGAAGAATATATATAAGCCTACAACACTCACTGTAAGAACATAATAATTCAAGTCATGTGTGCGTATAAAGTGACAACAAGATAAATGCTAAACATGGTAAAATATTATCTTATATTGCCGATAAATGCCAATGAAATTTGGACAGGTTTTCATTATTGTACAATGATCATTGAATTTATGCAGGTTAAGAATCGTTGCTTTACAAGTCCCGTTAGAGAGTCGGTTGGCATATCGATAATAACAGTAGTGTTAGTAATGATAGTGAAAAAGTTATTTTATAAAATAAGAAAATAAGGACTTATCGTTTACTCCTCCGTAGCCCTGCAATTCACTTAAATTCATAGCACCCATACTTAACATCAAATAATTCCACGGTAAACTTCAGGCGTAGGATATAGACGCAGTGATAAGTGATCAAGTCTAAGTGGATGAGTGCGTCACCCAACCATCTTTATATACTTTTAATGTCGGTGCAGAGATGACAGATTCTGGGAGAGCAATCCACGGGTGACAGACACGAATGTAAAAGAAATTTCTGTGGCATTCCAAGCGGCCATATTGTACAGCGGGTTCCAATATATGGCCCCTCTGGGTTATATTGGTGCTGAGTCGCAGTAAAGGGCGGCAAACCTGATGTAAGTCTCGCAGAATCAAGTATACCATAATCAGGTTGCCTTGTAGTTTGCGATAGGTTCCATTGGATAACCCCAATCGTTGCAGCTTCACCTGGTATGAAAGAATGCGCATTCCAATTAGGTTCTTAGATAATCTACTTTGTTGTTTCTCCAGTGCATTAAGGTCGTGTTTCAGCCTTGGATGCCAGGCTTGAATTGTGTATTCGATATGGAGCGAACATACGCACGGAACAATTGTGGAAATATGGAGCTGTTTATTTGTCTAGATACCCGTCGCTGCAGTCGGAGTGTTTGATCCCAGTCTTTGAAGCCTTTTTGGATGGTTTGGCGCAACCCAAGTCCTTTTGAACCTGAACACCCAAGTCACGTTGGACAGCTGATTGTATCAGTAAATTTGGTCCGACCGGCATGAGTAGCTGCTCTGATATCGGATAGAAAGTACCTTGCATTTAATGACGTGAAATGCAGTAAGTTTTGGGTTGACCGAAAATACACCGTATCTAGGTCACCCTGAAGCAGATGCTCGTCGGCGTTCGCCTGAAACATGCGCCAAATCTTGTTATCGTCGGCAAACATTAGGAAGTTTGAATCGATTCCCTGTGCAAGGTCATGAATAAACAAAAACAAACGTGGACCCAGAACTGAGCCTTGCGGCACACCACACTCCACTTGTATGGGGTCCGATATAGAGCTCCGAATTCTGTGCACTAATTTCCGTTAAAGTAGAAAGTTGGCAATTCAGCTTACCAGTGGGTCAGCGATCCCGTAAAGCTGGAACTTGTGCAGTAGTATCTGGCCTAGACGATGGAAAGCTTTCGATAAATTACGGTGGATCACAACAAGTCCTTCTCCAGCGTCAATTGACTCAGTCCAACTACTGTGTGCGATCAGTAAAGTCATCGTACACGACAGCTATCAGCGGAAACCGTGCCGTTCAGACGTGTTGATGCTACAGATTTCCAGATATCACAGCAATACATACGCCAGGCATCGTCGTAGTGCTTTTTACCGATTTGTTTAGAAGAGCAAATATAAATAGGTTATATAGATCGAAGGAAGTTAGTCTCATCGATTCTAACATGGATAATGTGGGTAAAACATTCGTTTGGCAAAAACCGTCAAACCGATAAACCGACAAATCCAAACTGCAAAACTTGGCACCAAAATGGCTGTTCCACAACGAGAGAGCTACAAAGTTTTCAAGAAGTCACATTCCTAATATGAAAACATAAAATAGATAGCAGAAATTCGGAATTGGCAGGTAGCTGACGGATTTATAAGCGGATTTAGAAATTGTTGCGTGACATTTAACATAATAGGTGGATGCTAAATCTAAAGAACATATTGGGAAAACGCGTTCTTCCTATTCAGTAAATATGTAACGCAGTTATAATGCTTACCAGAGGAAACTTTCGGAGAAATTGAACCGAATATTCCGTTATTTGGATGCGTAAAATTTCAATTAGATAACAGAAAATTGGAAGACATACGCCCAAATGCGAGTTGAAGAAGTATAAACAAAAACCTTGTAGTCGTACAATACAAATCCACGAGCACTAGGTTTCTGATTCTGAATTAAAATGGAAGCGTAACATTGCATTTCCTATTGTGGAAAAATTCTGAGTAGCTTCACCTAGTCGAGCAGCGCCATTGAAAATTAAAAGTAAGACAAAGCAGTTAAAGCACGCGCAGCAGATGCGTTTGGAAAAAAAAGTTAAGTGACCGACAATCAATAAAATAGTTTAGAAAATATAGAGCAGGGAAGTACGGGGCGTAAATTTATTATAATTTTTGTTTGAGGTAATTTCTCATTGAACATTTCCGTCGTCTTCTGCCGTCCGGCTGATGCAATTTGATGCCACGATTTCAAAATGGGATTTTTGCTGACGACGGAATTTTCCTATACAGCTTATCATACAGGGGTTTACAAAAAAGAATAGAAGCAAATAACACTCACCTTCATTGGTGGTTTTCCTCGTACTATTTGGGGTAGTCCAGATTGGCGTTGTATCCGTCCCGGTGGTTGTGGTGACCTCCGTTATAACTAGATATAGATGAATCGAAAGCATTGCAGAAATAGTGATTTTGAAAACAACTCTCTCGTTGCCAATATTAAACGCGGGTTTTAGGCTTGTTAAATTCATGGTAAGGATGGCAAATTTCAGCAGTCGCTCGCAGGCGTGAATCTGAATTTAGTTTTGAGTAAAAGCTTTCCAAGCTGATGGTTGCCGTTATCAAAATTTACCAGATGATTGCGCATCTTAAAATAATGTCATTGATAATTTGGACAGACGTGCTGCCTGTTAGTGGCTTAGGTAAAAAAACTCTGTGACGTTGCTTATGACTTTAACTAAGTTGCAAGATGGAGTTAGTTCTCAATGCGTTAGATAGTGACGTACTCCTATGCAGAAATGGTTGTGAAACGGAGAGTGTACATTATAAAAATGATAGAAATTCTGTTCCAATTTCTCTCTGATAGATCACATAAATCATGTCGTTGAAGTGCTTTATGTGTGACGGTTATTACCATTGCCCAAACCGTATTAATATGGGAAAAAGAAAGTGGACTTTAGATAAAAACAAAACGACGACTTTGATACAGCTGACATTAATGAACAACATCCGTTTAGCTTCTATGGGAAACCGCTTTGTCCCCAAGCTTGTTTTAATTGGTTGATGAAAAATGTATTAATTTGTTGGGTGAAAAACCAGGTTGAGGTGACGTTTGACTGAGTGCATGTTATGTGTTTCAAGGATTACATTGGTAATGAGAACGGTGCGAGACGTGGGGCCATTTTACAGTTGTCCCTTTACGCGGTTTCACTATTGCCTTATCCATGAAAGACAAATTTTACCGGTGATTACAGGCGACTACAACAAAACAGTTGTGCCGCCAAGTTAGGAACGGCATGCGCCTTAAGTTTTATCCATTTTCATTATCCATTTTCAATTTATATTTGATAAATGTCGCGGTACAATACATCAGAATGCGCTGAGACCGCAAACAACCACGGGAAAATCTGTCTTTGAGGTAGAAACTAACCGTTCACCACGTGAGGTTAAACGCCCTCGTGAAAATACCTCTGTCACCTCGCCTTGTATTGTCACTCCACGATCTGCACCATCACGAGCGTCATCGACCGCGGCCGAGCCCGAGGTTCAATGTTTCCCAACGATGGAAGACTCAGACTCGGAAGCTACGAAATGCTGCTTCACTGATCGGTCCGTGAATTTCTCAGAGCCTGTCTGTGAACTTTTGAACACCGAGAATCCATGGACCACTCAAAAGCGCAAATGCCCACTAATCGAGTTCAGGCGTCACCTGCTAATAAACAACAACCCAATCAGTTAAGCGCCTCTAGTTCTGCTCACGCAGGTTCATCACTGATTTCGCTGAGGTGTCATAATCTCATGGTTTTCTAAGTATCGGAATAAAAAGATGAAAACAGATACTTTATGATCACGAGGATGAGTTCATCCAGAGGCTCATCCATATAATCTTGGATATTCGCGAACACAGTGTGACAATTAAACAAATACTCCGAATTGGACAGAAAACTAATCAGTCATGTTGACCTATGAGAACCACTTTTGCAAATCCCAATATGCCGCAACTCATACTGTCTCGTCTGTCAAGGCTGAAAGGCTTAAAATTTCACATCTGCCGAGAATTGGAACCCGAAGACAGGGATCGTTTGAAAACTGCGGTCATTGAACTCAAACGCCGTACAGAAGAAGGGGGACTGACTAAAAAATTGCAAATTTTCCAGTAAACAAGTAGGGTGTACGAAACCGTATCAACCGGTTGCTCAACTTCCAGGCACGTCCAGCAGTACCTCCCAGGA